GTCAAATTAAAGTCATAAAGATTTTATCACCATACAGTTTACGGTCACCTATAGAGGAAGAGTTTAAGCTTTAAATAGCTTTCATTGGAGCTTTTAACAGTGTCTACCTTTGGGGCAGGGGATTGGGCATGGGGCTTGTTCTTTTATGGTCCCCACTTAGCATTTGAGGACCTTTCCTTTTTTAAGATACTGAAGACAGTAGTATCCTTTTAGACATTTCCATTTTGCTTTTCTGATGAAATATATCTGAATTTGCGTTCATTCATATCCCAAATCAATACTGAAGCACTGGTTAACCCTTGAAACAAGGTAATGAGGTACTTACCTTCACTGCTAATAAAAAAAAAAATCAAGATTTGATTTCATTGGTAAATGTTTCAGTGTTTTTCATTAAGATTGACAGTAGAAGTCATTAATGTGTCAACACCATGTTTCAAACATGGGTGTATTACACAACTATGTTGATTTCATCCCCATTGCTTTTTTCTTGTCCAAAGCTAAAAGATACACAAATACTTTCAATTTAAAGTATGGAATCAGATGCTTTAAATATGATGCGTAATACAAATGCAGATCTTCTAAACTCGAGCTTAAATGCATTGTTCTATTTCACCAGTGGTAAATCTGGTGCTTTGGTTTTATTCTGTCTTGATGGCTACTGGTTTTGGAGAAACTTGACAGTCTTACTTTTTTTTGGAATTATTTTTATTTGTTTGTTTCACTTACTCTGATTTTCATGTAGTGTTTTCATGAATGTATGAATGTGATTTATAATTATTATATCTGAGAGCAGTACACTGGAAAATAGGATGTGTTAACAGGAACCCACGGTTTCCATTTCTGTGCACTCTAAATGCAAACTTTAAATAGGAGCTGCTACAGGAGCATTGGATTGTATGGAACAGTAACAGCTGCATAATATTTCTAAATATTTATATATTTAGAAGTTTTCAGTGTGTTTAATTAGGTACAAGTATTGCTGAAAGTTAATTTTCAATGCTAAATTGCAATATTATTAGTTTACTGTTAAGAATGGGCAGTTTAAGGGGGGGAGACTAATGGACACAGTTCAAAGATTTTATCAGGAACCGAATTTATTTTCACCCAGATAAAACGTGTCCACAGCACAGCTCTCATTTGCTTTGTCACTGAAAAGAAATCACATGAATATTGTGTTTATTTATATGCCATACATCTAGATCTCACAGATTTGCATAAAACATTTAGATAACAGTGCACAGTAAGCCTGCTAAGCGACTGTGAACGTGCACCCGGTTTGCTGCGTATGGCTTGACACGCTCCCTGACCCATGGCTGTTTGTGGTGCTGGGGGACTCGGGCCGTTCCCCGGCGCTGGAATGCAACTCACAGGGGCATCCAATTGCTAAATTGTCAGCGTGCTCCCTGGCACGTTCTTGGCCCATGCAGCCTCGCGCTCTGCCGAACATTTCCTGGTCACACTCCATGAATTAGCACAGAGCAGATGACACAGGGCCAGGAAAATAATCCTGAGAGTATTCAGTTTACTGGGCATCATCAACATGTTGTTTTTGTTTGTGTTAGTCAGGGGAGATGTAATGCTTTAAAGCGATGGGCTTGGCTTCTGTGGAAGTCTGTATGGCTGAAGTGTATTTTTACAACATAAATCATTAAGCTGTGGAGGGTTGCGAGAAGGATGGAAATGGTAACCATTAGTATTTCGGATGTTTTTGTGAACTGACAGAGAGACAAGTTTTAGGGCTTTCTGTAGAAGGGAAAGTTCATTTTCGTTGTAATGACTCTTCTTTTTTTACATATGTATATACATGTGGCTGTGTTTGAGAATGAGAGCTAAGGGATAACACTGTTAGCAAAGTGTTTTGGGAGGGCAGGCAGAATTTCTCTGAAGGAAGATGCTTAGGTAGAGGACCACAAGCAAAGAGAATTCAGTGCAAGAAAGCAGTGGTAGTGTACTCTTCCTTAAAAGTATTATTATGTTGTCTAGGTAGAATTTTAAGGAGTAAATGTTTTCACTGTGAAACACATAACGAAAGAGACAATCTGAATTAGGTGTTGGGTGTACTAGATTTTTATTTGAAAAACTGAATGCATGACATTTAGGTTTGGATTATTACACAAAAGTTACTATATTTACCCTAAAATCCAATGCCATCATCATAGGTTGTTTGCATAATTTTTATTGGTTGTTCCATTTATTATTTAGATATTAGGAAGGGGAAAAACGACAGTCAGCAACTGGGGTGGACTCCCTCAGTCTGCTCTTTTAACCTTTTGGTGCAGTGCAGCCAGTTAGTGGAAATCAGGCTCGCTAAGCCCTGAAGCACAGCATACAGCCAGGATGCTGTTAGTCCGTAAGGGAAAAACAAGGGACAGCAAAAAAGGTGAAAGAGAAATGAATGGGGAGGGAACAGGCTTTTGTGAGTAAAAGGTCGTATGGCAGCATGGTTGGGCAGGAACTAGTCTGAAAAAAAGGGGACAAGAAACCTCATCATGCTGATTAACCGCACGTTATTTCAGCAACGCAAAATGTCTTTGAAGACCTGGATCGTAATGGCCTGGCTTGAG